AACTGGACAGGTAGCAGCCACGGGATTTAACTTGTCCTTCCATGGCATGGTGGTCCTTGCTCCTAGACTGAGGCCCCGGAGAAAAATGCGTCCACCGTTCCAGTCCGCGATCCTGACGGGGTTAGCTAGCGTTAATTCGACGGAAATTGAAATCTTTCCCATCATAACCGATATCGCGTCAGCCCATGGCTTAACTGATTGCCAGTTTGACCTGATGATCAGCCGGAATTAGGTGGAAAACTGAATTCTTTTCTGCCTGGAGTTGAGATAAAACAACATAAGGAATGGTAATTTCAGCCTCCATTGTCTATTTGCAGCTAATAGTTTTTGACGATTATAAGGCAGGCAGCTGAATTCGAAGATTTTTGATGCTCCAAATGCCACTTCGTCTAGATCTGTTACGTGTTAGCGTCAATATCTCGCACTTTTCGTAACACAATGCCCACTAGGACTGGTGTGTACTTTCAGCGTACGTGGGGAACATTAATCATCCCGAATTTGTGAGTGTAACGTCTGCTGGCGCGTTCATCTACTGGCTGCTGCTGTTGCTTTGGCGGCGACGCTGATAGAAAAGGTAATTAGCAATCTTTGCCGCAAACTGACGGGGGCCTTGGTAGATGAATGCACTCTTTAGCCGCACTCTTGTAACGCATGCTTCACCCCCTCCCCGTCCTTCCTGTAACAGATTTGTTCTCTGCGACAACTTTCCTTCATCCGCCAACTCTGCAATGCGGGCAGTTCCTGTTCTCCCGTCCTGCCGGGAGCCCATATAAACTTCCCTTGTTAGACTGTGTTTTAAAAAGGATACTGAAACTGTCGATGCATTATTCGACAACCGTCGGCCCCCTAAGGCTAAATTTTGGCGGCCTACTGTGGCCGAAAGGTGAAAGATTAAGAAGGTGAGGGGGAGGAGGAGGAGGTGTGACGCCCCTGCTAGCAAAACGAGCTGTTTTTGTGCTCGCCAATTTGAAAAAAGAACGAGCTCCAAGTGAGCCAGCGTGATGGTGCTTATAGCTCGAAAAAACGAGTTTCTTTTTTCATCCGGACAGGGGTTACCTCCTCTCCTGCGAAAACCCCCATTTTTTGAAACATAGTGAAATATTACTTTTTGAAGACTGTTTGTTTAGTAAAATGTATATATTAATATTAAAAACGGGTTTAAAAAATATAAGGGTACAAAAATAATGAAAAGTTCTCTATGGCCGGTGTTTATAATTCGTGGCTACCAGAACGCAGCGCTGTAGACTTCATGAACGACGCTGGTAGTCCGTACGGCCCTGGTGCATTGTCGTCATCATGATTTTGGGTTATATCTAAAAGAAAGAAATTAGGAAATTAGTACGTAGGTAACAAAACGTGAAATACCAGCGAGTGACAAGTTTAAGTGGATGAATGGACTCACTAATTCGGCTTGTAGACTGCGCATACCTCCCGCTATGCCGCTGATGCCGACCATGGACACGCTTGAAGGTAAGTTTTAATGCCTTACGTATCTCCGTCCCGTTCTAGTG